GAGATACAGACAGAATACGAGTCCATGGCGGGAAGGTTGACGAGTTTTGCCTGACACACCAATAGGTCAGTGATGGAACCAGTGTTGAGAAAAGACCGTCATAGAAGCTGTGAAAGAGCACATCATCCCAGCCAAGAGGATCATATATACGCCTTAGGGTCAGTGCTCCCGGAGGCATTGCGACTGGTGAAGCTGTTCGCCTCCCAAGGAAAGCCACTGGGAGGACTGCTCAAGGAAAACCACTCGACCCTTCCCAGAGTGCCACAACAGGTGTTTAGGAGACCAGGTATGATTGGATGAGCTTAAGGTGGCATAAATAATAAAGTGGTAAGTGTTAGAGGTATATTAAAAAGGGAAAGATTTGGTTAGAGGAATATTCATGGGCGGTCAGTAGGTTTGATTACTATGTCAAAGATAATCACAATTTAAGTAAGTGTTGGAACTACTACTTGCATGTGCGTGATATTTTCTACGTCATTGTATATATTTTGTACATTACGATGCCAGATATACAAGTGAATATATTTACTTCATATATGGTACGATGATTTGCATAAGAGTAAAAGTAAACAAGAGTTGCAAAACACTTTACACCGCGATTTGGAGGCCGGAGCTTGACTGACGGCATGAGTCAAAAAGTCGAATTTGCCAAGTTGTTATAACTGAGCAAGCCAGTAACCTGAGGACTTTACAATAATAAACTTTCATCTAACATTTTTCAGTAATGGAGGAGTAATTTCGATGAATACTATAATATGGCAATATAATTTAGTAATCTAGTAATAGCGATAAACATTTTAGGTCGTACTTGAAATATGTCAACAGTTTTCATTTTTAGTTTCAAGAGAACGATGCTTTCATAAATTTAAATTACCAAACGATTTTAATGGCCCAGATCTATAAGCACAGTTCACCTTTTCTCATTAGACCACAATGCTTAGTTTATTGTGATTATTGCTGACAATTTTGACACTGTGCTTGAAGGGTGATCACACGTACTGCAGTGATTGACCTTCATGCCGAGTACTGGGCGAGGCGAGTCAGTCGTGTCTTGAGGCGAGTGAGAGCTGGGAAACTTTGACATTGCCATCATGAATATTTTAATCGAAAGTGAACTTGTTTGGCTAAGACTGAAGTAATTTACGACTTACCTTGAAACGGTTATGTTCTTAGAGTGGATTATACTAACACGCACACACGCGCACACACACACACACACACACACACACGCGCGCACACACATTTGTACATGTGTCTGTTATTTGTTTATACAATTATACACACGATGCTTGTCATAAACAATACATATTTACAGAACAAGAAATATACCTGTGATGGATAAACAGACGGGGAATACACACACACACACACACACACACACACACACCCCAGTATTCACATCCAACAATACCTTACGACATGAAAGCTTTTACAATCCAGACAAACTTTTATTTTTCCTGCAGTTTCGTGTTTGTCTAGAGAGAATTATTACTTAAATAAAACAAAATACATTTATTATAAGTAACAACCTTTAGCTTGCGAGTCTCAAGATCAATATAATCTGTACCACCGCATAATTATACGAGTTCTGGCTCTTGTTCTGAATGTTATGATGTCCTAATATCAAAATGTTTATCTCTTAATAAATAAACACAAATAGTTTCACAAGTAAATACCGTAGGCTGTTATTAGTTGCCAACCTTCGTCTACCGAGTGGTGTCCGTCAGGTAGGGCGGTAGCAAGTACTGTACCTCGAGGTGTGGTCAGTAAATGTTTTAAAGTATCATTAAACTCGTTTCCTCTCCCTCGTGTGTACCCTTGACCATGAACCAGTGTGTGTAGGAGTCGGTTAATTGGCCACTTTTGGTCTCCTGCCTGCTAATGATGTGCTGCCTGTAGGATTTTCATGGTCAGGAGATGTGCATTTTCTCTCGTGTGTTGGGGGTTGAGTTCTGGAAGGAGAGAGAGGCAGAGTGATGACTGGATAAGTATTCATTGGTTAAAGTTCAGTTGGTTCTAATTCTTTGATCACGTTTTCTTCTGACGTCTTCAGTTAAAAACCTGAAAGCTGGAATTTTGACTTGTATCGATTAAATACTCTTCGGTGTACCTAGTATAATACAGCGGTCGAGTGGATAAAGTATTCGCCTCCTGTTGAAGGGCGTTGGTTCAATCACGTGAGCATCCAGTCCACCCAGCTGTTAATGAACACCAGTTGGGGGGAGGTACAGATGGTGGTGTGGGCACAACTCTTGCGGGCAGTAATGCTTAAGGGATCCACTTTCACTTCCAGATGCTCTTGAGGTCAAACTCGATTATCAACATCGCCAGCCACGTGGTCCTGATAACACGTTCTTTAGCACTGACGAGTGACTTTCGTGTGAAGTTATTTTAATAATTTTCTTGTTACATAAAGTAAATAACGAAAGTCCGTCGCCACATTACTAGAAGGAAATGTATTAATTTTCGTCGAATTAATTAAAAAAAATCTCAATTTAAATAACTAAGAAACCTAAGAACACCAAAAAACGCAAGAACACGATATTTTGATATGAAAAAAAAGACGCTAATAAATTACACGATATTTTTCTTATTAATACCTGTATTTCGATGGAGTTAACTATTGATAATGGACAACTGTAGGTTAGTGTTAATATCTGTGAATAATCTCTAATATACTGTAAGGTAGACAGAATCTTGTTATTACAGCCTTAGGCCAGTAGTGTGGTGTAAGGTTGGTCTTCCCAGTGGACGAAAGCCAGGGTAGGATCGCTGGATCTTTGGCTGACTGTACAGTCAGCCAAAAATGCACTGACCCCACCCTGGGTCTCGTGCTTGCAATTTTACCTGGCAAATGTTTGTATATTTGCTTAAATAATGAAGAAAATTTGATGCGAGAATCTTGTGGTTGCCACAGGTGTTTCAAGTTTGTGTGGGAAAGTAAGGGTAATCAGTGTTGCTGGCGTTTTAAATTATTTGGTAGGGTCATTATTGTATCGTATAAACAGTATAAATGTTATAATTTAACCTCACCCAAGCTACAGGGTGGAGATCACCACTGCACCTCTTAGTGTCCTCACCACCTCGTCCCTTGTCAACAATAATTTCCACATGGTTGTCATCGTTGTCTTAAGATTCCTGGATTACACGACTGTAATTGGCTATGTAGTGCTCGTCTTCACACCCACTACTGTATGTTGCCGGGAGACTGAGGTTTCTCACGCATGAATCTTGTGAGTAATATGTATGAGCATCACAGAATAAAAATTAACGAGGATTTGGGTAGTATCCAGGAGGTATCGTATTTAAACCCTCAAACAGTGGACAGTAAAACCACACTTAAAGGTTAGGGTTAAATGTAATATGACAGTGAATTTTTGTATTAAATGAAAATTGTACTTTTTTTTTCTTGACCTCAGTCCACTTTTAATATGAAGACCTTGGAGTTTAATTTGTATTTGTATATATAAACAACAGTGCTCCCTGCCACCATAGTATACGTTCTCTGGATAACTTGTGTAAGACTCGAGAGATTTTAATTTTGGTAATACAGTAGAAAAATATCCAGGTGGCGGATAACCTGGTAAAGGACAGGTATTGTTGTGTAAAATAAGTTATTACTGTTACAATTACAAGCATATTTATTGTCATTGATAATAGTATTTATTTCTGTCAAACAAATTGTTCAGGAAAAAAAAATATATACAATTCTCCCTGATAAGCTCCGGGTAAATCTGTACATATTTTTTTATTGACTTACGTAACTGGTTTTCTTACATGTGTTTATCGGAATAAATCTTCACTAACAATGTAGAATCGTTCATGCAAGTAATCAAGACGTATACTGGTACACATAATCTTAACCCGATAAAAAAAATCTGGAAACCTTACAACAGTACCTGGAAGACCATGCCATCAAATCCACCCTCCTCTTTTTCGTCTGGCGCCAGCGCTTTCACGACCACAGGATATTTTACAACCTGGTTACTGCAAACGAGTCCAAGGTATTTCCGCACTTACAACACAGTACGGAGGGGCTCCACTATCACCGGGAAACGACATGAAATTGGAACTTCTATCGATCATTATAGGTAATGAAAGTGATCGACAGTAGCTGGGAAACGGAAGTCTATTCAGTCCCTCATTCTTGTGTTGGTTATACGTAAGAACTTTCTCAACGTTCCACCTAGCTCGTTAAGATAACCAATGACTTAAAATTGTTATACAGTTTGGCAAAAAATGATATCTACTACAACACAGTACAGATGAACTTAAAATAAAACCGAACTCGGATACGTGGTCAAATTATGTAGGCAAGTTTATATGCCATAAGAGGCGAGGCATCCTTAAATGTTCTATTTTTTAGCATCCTGTGAATAGAAGGTGCGCTCAAGCGTTCAAGTATATCCCTGTGGAAGCACGCTTGAGTGGGATTACCCACTGAATCGCAGAGGTCACCCTGGATTGCATCACACCCGGCGACTAAAGCGAGGAACGTTACAGTACAATACTCTTATATATGGCAACTTAATTATCTTAAAGTAAACAAAAAAATATTCTGTCGTAATTAAAACTCTTTTGAGGGATTAACGACAAACTAAAATAACCGCACCAGCAAAGAGAACGGAATGGGGAGAAGCGAGCGCAGTAATGTTGACGGGGAAATACTGTATTCATTATTATGTATGAGGATGTACTGTGCTTATTATCATGTTTAGTAGGAATGGCACAGCCTCCAGAGTTGAGAAGCCTTAAATTTGAACGGAAGTTACAAGATCATCTGGAGATCCCACCACTTGAGCTGGATGGCCGGCTTGCCTGCAGACACAACCAAGGCCAGTAACAAGTGACCCGCCAGCACCCAACCTTACAACAATAGTGATGTATCCAGCTTCGGCTCAGATCGGTGTGGGACCTCGTGCTGGCAACAACGCGCAATATTATTTGCTGTGTACTCGCTACGAATCTTAAAAGGTTACTGCAGTGTTTAGTGTAACATTTGTACTCTTGAACTGGTGTGGGATCCTTCGTATTTTCAAAAACAAACATGAAAGTGTATAACCAGAAAGTTTACATATCTAGATAGACTTGTGATATACAAACCGAAATTGAGTTTTTTTCCCACCGGGTAAGTTTTAACAACACGATATGATAAATCTTGTATGCGTTGTGATCAATTACGTATAATAAGAAACTGTGGGTGTACTGTAATAGTCTGACGTCTGTTTGTGTAAAGTAGAATGTTTACAGGAAGGTCAGTTTTCTGGTGGGCGTTAAAGCATCACATGATTCTTCAGCGTGCTGTCTTGGGAGTTCAGGACGTCATCTTACGGTTGTCTTTACTGTAAACTATATGTAACATATGTACTACAATACCTATTTTCACACTGTCAGTATAGTGGATGAACACGAGTGAATTGTTACAGACGTGGTGATGAAGCACACGGTGGAGAGAGCAGTGCTACGGGTCGCCTTGATCCTCCTCCTCGGTACCGTCGCTCAACCAGTCAGTCGGAAGTTAGAAGGTAAGTGATCTTCTGTACCTCTGGGTGTGTTGTAGTCTCCCACACAGTATCGTGCTATGGTTTAAATGACCTGAATTGTGTCGAGAGTTTGAAACACAGGACAAAATATCATTACTTCTTACGGATTGTTTCAGGTATTGTTTAAAGTTTATTTATAATAGAAACCCTTGGGCCCAGTTCTCAGTAACTTACCATAACAATAATACCGTACAATGTGACTGAAATTCGTAACTAAGAAAGTCTATTTTACAGGATACAACTTTTGGGTTTGAGGATGTTAAGGACTTCCTTGTTATGCTGTATATGGGGGATGAACGAGAGACAGAACCTGTAGGCAGTGAGCATCGGAAGGATAGACTGTAATAACAACACCTGACCAGCTGTAGTGAACCCCCAGCAATGTTTTCTCTCACGGCCTCAATTGTCGTATTAGGATCTGTTGTTGTAAACGTTACTGTACGATACACCTTGGTCACACTCTAGTATCTCCCCAGTACCAGTAATTCATTAGGATTCTTGTGTAGGTTTTGACATCAGTGACTAGGGTATTCAAGCACCGCTTCATTACTTCGTTTGTACACAAAACAACTTGTGTAAATTAATAAATGCATTGGGTTTTCTAAAGAGGCTTCCTCCCCTGACGTCTTCCAGCCCGCCAACACTGGTGGGACCTTGCTCAGAATGAGTTGGCGGCCGCCCTCAACGTGCGCGACAACTGGAATGTGGCCAAGAACGTCATCATGTTCCTAGGTGACGGTATGGGCATCACCGCCAACACCGCCGCCAGGATCTTCAAGGGGCAGAAGATGGGCATGAATGGAGAGGAAGGATACCTCACGTGGGAAAGGTTCCCCAACGCAGCCTTGCTCAAGGTTAGTTCACGCTACACTGATCTGGCAAGAGAACATATCTCCGTTGGACTTGGTGCTGATAGCCCCTATCGTAGGTGTTACATTTGTATTAATTGAACTTGCAGATTAGACGATAATGTAATACACAGTAAACTTCTTACAATAAGCAGTCTGGTCTGGTTCTTCAGGTCTATGGCGAGGTACAGCACAGCACCTGGGCATGATCGATGATGTTGACGTTTCTCTTCGTCGTTAAGAAAGTAGCTTCTGTAGTTATTGGCATGATAGCCTAGCAAGATTTTCGCCCTACTCTACTCTATAATTGGAAATTTGTTTTCAGTTTGACGTTTTCATAAAGCGAATTATGAAATATACTGAAGACCACCACCATGTTCACTTTTATTGTATAAACAAATAATGTACTTCTTAACAGACCTATTTTTCTGAATCAAAGATGTAATACCCTCCTAGCCTCCGATACACCCCTCCATATCATTATCTTCAAATACAGGCAGCCTTCATCTGGGTGTATACAGCACCCACATGAGGGCTGCCCGTCGTTGTAAGCAGAAGAAACGGAGTAAAACGGCGGTAAAGCACGAAAAAGCGTCCAAAGGCAATACTTTTTTTTACCTACATTTGTTCCTCCGCCAGACATACAACGTGGACAAACAGGTGCCAGACAGCGCGGCGACGGCTACCGCTTACCTGTGTGGGATCAAGACCAACTACTACACACTGGGAGTCGACCCCATGGTGACCCTTGGCGACTGTGCTGCCGGTAGGAACCCCCTCTACCACACCCCCTCCATCCTGCAGTGGGCTCAGGAGGCTGGCAAGGACACAGGTCAGTCACCAAGGGATTACAGCTATGATAGACAGATGTGATTTTTGAGTGTAGGAAGGGATTAATCTGTAATATAAACTTCTTATAGACGTCAATAAGTTAATTGTACAGTGTAAACCAGTGATTTCTTTCTTTTTTTTTGCTTCGTGTCCACCTACTAGTTGACCTAAATCTCACTCCCCTGATGTGTGCACTAGAAACATTTCATCCGTAACATCACTGTAACATGGACTCAATAACACCTACATTATGCTAGAATTTCAGATTTATTCAGTGGGTCATATCAGTAAAGCTTCATATTTGTTCCCGCTGTTATATATATATATATATATATATATATATATATATATATATATATATATATATATATATATATATATATATATATATATATATATATATATATATAGTGGCATATACTGTACAGTCACTCAAAAACCTATCTGCATTTGGGGTGATCGATGAATCTCAGAATGAACACCGTGATTCCTGTTGTCTCGGTATGGTTGCCAAAATCCTTCGTCCGTTGTCATATTTTCTCGACACAATTTTGTATAGATAATTTTTTTGAGTGACTTTACATAGTCTTTAAACGTTTAACAATTCCTGAAACTTAAACTTCTCCTTTCAAATGAGACGAAATCTATAAATTAATGAGTAATTTATACGTGAAGTGACGAGAGGTAACTGCGACTATCACTCACACTGATCACATGGTACGAAGCTCCCTGTTGTTGTAAAGTTTATAACTGGAGTAAATATTTGAGCTGAACAAAATAAAACCTCCGAAACTTTCTTCAGTATAATGTATAATACTTTTGTTTACTGCCAACACTGTCTACATTCAGAGCTCAACCAAAGTAATCATAATGTTTTCTAGTATCACTTAATCTAACCTCCTGAGTTGCGTAGATATTAACCTCTCGCGAGCAGCATCAGTTTTACTGGTAGAGATATAATCAACAATCAATCCCCTATAAACAATGTACTGAAAATTGTCATGGTGTATAGTGACTGGATTTTTGTTTTTTTGTCATTGTAGGTATCGTGACAACCACAAGAATCACTCACGCCACTCCCGGGGCCACTTACGCCCACTCCGCCCACCGCGACTGGGAGTGCGACGGTAACCTGGGAACTATGGGTATCGGCTGTAAGGACATTGCTGATCAACTCGTGCACGATAATCCCGGCAAATATATCAAGGTGAGACGTGAGACCAGTGAGAGATCCTCTTGAAAGAATTAAGTCTCACATGATTCTCTTGGTTCGAGAGAGAGAGAGAGAGAGAGAGAGAGAGAGAGAGAGAGAGAGAGAGTGAGAGAGAGAGAGTGAGTTAACTTCTTCTTGGCATGGTGTCACTATACTGATGGATGTCCACGGAGAATTTGGTATTTAATTCAAATGTGTGAAGTTAGATTTTAGTTGTACAAGTAATATGTTAAACAAAGTAGAATAAGAGAACTCAAATAAAGGCACAGTGCGTGGTTCTGGCTGCAGTCTCGGTAATTCAATAACAAAATTATCTTGTGTGCAGGTGATCCTGGGTGGCGGCCGGCAGGCGTTCGGGGCAGGTCTTGGCAATGAACTTAACACCACCTGCATTCGCAAAGACGGCCGTAACCTGACCCAGGAATGGCTTGATGACAAGAAGTTAAGGGGAGCGTCTGCTAGCTACGTCACCAACTACGGGGAACTGAGCGACATTGATCCTGATGAGACGGACTATCTCTTGGGTGTGTAGTGCTGTTTATTATTCAGACGTCTTGTGTTTTGGTGGTGCACTGAGCTGATAGTTGGCCTTTCCTGAACCTTTCCTTTTGTGGATCATAACTTATGAATGGATGTAGATATTTTTGCGGAAATTCAGTGATGATCCTCGTCCCTACACAGTTCATATAGAATACTAAAGGTGTTTCGGGGTGAAAGTTAGAGGTCACAGCGAGATGTCCGACTCGGGTTACAAGGAGCGTGGGACCGACTTTTGTGTTCTCACGTTATTGTTTGATTATTACTTTTATTCTAATCCTCTTGGCCACTGATCGGCTCGTTAGCCACTTGGACGGTCGGTCACGTCTCTGTTTCGCATTGTTGACAAGTACTGGGCATGCACCGGCTCTGAATGTATCTGAACCTGCTCCAGTGTTGGTCAAGTCAGGTCTTAAAACCGCTCACACTCGGTGCTGTCACAACACACACTGGCAGATTGTTCCAAGAGTTCACAATTCTCACTCTGAAAAAGTTTGCCCTCAGTTCTCTGGACTTGTGGCACCAACTTTGAGCTGTGACCCCTTGTAGGGCGGGCGTCCGGCAGCTCCAGATATGGACACTTGACCGAGTAGGGACCTCGGATATTTATAAACTTTAATTAGGTCACCTCTTGCCCGTCTGTAGCGTAAGCTAGGAAGTTGCAGGCGTTCTAATCTCTCAGGGTAGCTGAGGTGCCGTGCCGTAGTGCAGGCACCAGTCTGGTGGCCCTCCTTTGGACATTTTCAATCAACTGACAGTCTCTAGGCAATGATTTTAATACTGTGTGTACTACGTTATGATTTGGATCCTGAATGATGAAGTAATTAAGTCTTTGGTCGAATAATAATGGCGTAAATACAAACTTTTTAAACACACAGAAACTAGGATAGTTTGTGAGATATAAACAATCAGTCCTCCGCCGGCTGTACCATGAGGGACCAGATGTCCTTAGAATCAGAGTCCATAGTTTCTCTTGGTTGTGTGTGATAGTTACTTCATGTTCCCGGTGTTTGCGGGTCACTTGGTAAAACGTGTCTAGTACTATAAAATGTAGTGAGTTCAAGGGTCAGCAGCGGGAGTTAAGGTTACGGTAAATTTTAGCCATTAATGGTATAGTAGCTTAAATGTTTCTCTTCGGTATTTCAGTGTACACTATAGTATAACCTGCCGCTGCTGTAATCCTTGGTCTATGGTTAGTTTATGGATATGCGAGTGTAATAATCTGAACTAATATGGTTATCACAGGCTTGAACTGTTAACTCGGAAATTGAGTCGAATGTGCTACCACTATGCAGTACATTGGGGGACATCGAGTAGATTTATCATGTGGTTACTAGACCTAGTAAAAAGTTGTTGCTGGGTACCAGGGTTGACGGCAATGGAAACCCACAAGGCCTGAAGGAGGTCGAAGGGTTCTTGTTTATCATCGAATAGGTCAGTTGTTTTAAACTCCCGGCAGCTGAGTGGTAGAGCGTCCGTCTCTTACTCGTATAGGTTGACTGTTCTAAATTAAAACCTGTGAGAGAAAACTGTTGTAAGACCATCGTTGAAGTGTAATACACATAATAACGTCAACATATTTGTGAAAGTTTAACATTAACCCCGTTATGACCGTGGCTGGTAGTTCATGGTAATAAATACTGGGAATAAACTAACATAACTTGGTGTAATTCAACTTTCGGTCATCCTCCAGGACTGTTTGCTGACTCGCATAATCCCTTCGAGGTGGACCGCCTGGTGGGGCCTAATGGGTCTCCCTCACTCAAGGACATGGCCCTCAAGGCTCTCAAATTGTTGAAGAAGAGCGAGAATGGGTTCTTCCTCCTGGTCAGTATTATTACAGCTCAAAGTTTGTCATTATTATGTTATTTCTTGAGGTTCAACAAAGTGTCTAGTAAAAATGTAACTGAATACTGTATAATAGTTTCAACCTTTTACAATTACAGTATGGTATAAAGTATTACTGCACTAAAACAAGTAAGGTCTAAAGGCACATATTCTACACTAAATTCAACACTAGACATCAACAGTATATCTTTGTTACACTCTTATAAGCGATAAGTATTCAACACTAGCTGGGGGTATACCAACGTTACCCTGGTTTAGGTCAGTCATGTTGACCAGATCGGGTATTTACCCCCTAGAGTTAGAGGGGCAACTCATAACGCACACACACACACACACACACCTTTTTATATACCAATATGTATTTTGTTCAGTTCATTTATAATTTAAGTGTCCATAAAAATAATCATGTATGAAAAATTGAGGCACTGGGAAATAAATTTTAGATACCATTTCTATACTCTTAATATTTAATTTTTATTTATGTGGACAGGTTGAGGGAGGACGCATTGATCACGCCCTACACGATAACCTGCCTCACCGCGCCCTGGAGGAGGCGATTGCTTTGGACAGTGCAGTGGCGGCGGTGCTTAAGGTATGACGTCACCCCCCATACAAAAAAGTTCTTCTTTGTGTTCTTAACTGGGAATAAACTGTTCTTCTTTGTGTTCTTAACTGGGAATAAACTGTTCTTCTTTGTGTTCTTAACTGGGAATAAACTGTTCTTCTTTGTGTTTAGATTCAGATTCAGATTTGCCCCCGAGGGGGCTAGTTTATTGGGCACCCCCTTACATCCTGTGCAAGGTGAAGCGCAGAAGCGTTTACAGCGCCCAACAGGGAAGTATGAAAAGTTCATACTTGCCTTTATGACTCGTACATTAAGGGCGTAAAAGCCTGAAGGGTCATAGGTTTTGTCAAGTTACATAAAGTGGGAGAATGATGAGTGTGTGGGGGGAAAGTTCCCGGTACAATTTATCTGTTTATGGCAAAGAGTGGCAGGTCCCTAATAATGTCAAATGCCAGGCCTGTGACTAGGAGGAGGGTTCTTTGTGTTCTTAACTGGGAATATACTGTTCTTCTTTGTGTTCTTAACTGGGAATAAACTGTTCTTCTTTGTGTTCTTAACTGGGAATAAACTGTTCTTCTTTGTGTTCTTAACTGGGAATATAATAACCCATCTTCAAGAATCAAAACAAAACTTAAAAGCTATATTTATATAACATCAAACTTTGTATCGCATTTCAATTGAACTTGAGAATATCTTTTGAGAATTTTATGACCCATGATAACTTCCCTGGTATAATGTTATGGTCATATTATTTGTGGACCATAAAGGGTAGTTTGTATTCCGTCTCTTGTTTGTGTAATTTGTAAATATTTCTGGTCAAACTTGTCTCATCTTTCGGTAGTGAAATGTACCAAACAGTGAAGTCTCATAATGTTTATAACGGTTTTAAAATTAGTGAGTGTTTTATAGAATGTGTCTTTTTATAATGGCTTGATGTTTATATAAAGTTCCTCCTCTTGAGTGAGTTAGTAACGTACTGTATAGTGGGTTGGTGTTGCAGGAGGTAGACATGGAGGAGACGCTTGTGGTGGTGACGGCGGATCACTCTCACGTCATGACCATGAACGGTTACCCGGACCGAGGCAACGACATTCTCGGTGAGGTTTACATCCATTATCTCTGTTGTCGTGTAGGAGTCCTGGCAACACTTTAACACTACAACTGTCAGACATAATTCTACAACTCTGATGAATCAAATGAGCTTTTTTGTTTTGGTTTTACTTTCCATCAGCAAATACGAAATCTTTTGGTATTTTGCTGCGTTTACAAACTTAATTCTCACCACTATAATATTTTACAATTTATAGTATTTATATATCTCGTAATTGTTGATTAGTGTAATTATATTAAACTTTAAGTGCGACAGTGTACACCTGGAACACACTTAACGTTACTCTATGATGAGTGGTGACTTTTTTCACAGGTTTGGTGAGTGACCTATCTGAAATTGACAACCTTCCCTACACTACCCTCATGTTCACCAACGGCCCCGGCTACAACTATTCCGTCGTTGAGGATAAGGTAATACATCTGAAAAGAAACAAAACAGAGAAAGTGAAACTAATCATTAAATGTCTAATGTTTCGATCAGTCTTGGTTTTAGGTTAATGTTATGAATCATTTCGATGTTAAACACTTAATATTTATGTTTAAGGTTTAGAGTACAACTTGTAGAAATTACAGGTTTAGAATAAAGGACATCTGGTACCAAACCCACAATCTTATTTAACATTGTCAGTTACGTCCGAGTTTCTAGACAACAGCTAGTGTAGTGCAGAGTAGATTAACTATAATAGTTTGTTCTGTCGGGCAGGTGGTTCGTCACGACCCCAGCACCGTCAACACGAAGCATATAGACTACCGCTCCCAGGCCGCCGTTCCTACTCCTCCTATCTCGGAGACCCACGGCGGGGAGGACGTCGCTATCTGGGCCGTAGGTAAGTTGACGGCGGTGATGCTAAATCTACTTCACCCACACTACAACTGCTGCCTCTAAGGTCCTTCACTTGAGTTTTTAATCAATTTCTCTGGTCTGTCTTAGATCGCAATACCTCTTAACCCTTTAGACTCGGTCAGAGGTTCGCAAACTGGGTTCGCGAACCCCCAGGGGCACGCAGGAGGGTTTCCAGGGGGTACATGAGGGCTGGCGAAAATCGGCATAGAATATATTAATTTCACCAGATTTAATTCATGGTGATATAAATTTAATGTTTTATTTACAATATGGAAAGTAGTTTCTCTCAAAGCACCAAACATGTTTTAACACGACTATTCTATATTGAATTAAGTGTAAATTTAGTACCATTCTATATTCAGTGTTTCAGAAATGGTGGTGCAGGTCGATGGTCTGATAACTCGGGGGTACCTGGTGAGAAACCGTTTGAGAACCCCTGAGGGCAGAAGTTGCTTTTAGCTGAAGAAAACAGTCTGGTGTTAGCTAGAATGAAATAACCTAAGATAGGGACTGCTCTCTAAAGAGTTAAAGACCCTGAAATAAAAAGTTCATATTGAATTTGAAAAAAAATCAATGATGGTGATCGAACGACACGATTATATAAGGTTTAACATGACACGAGATTAATATCTTCATTTTTCACCTCGCAGGACCGATGGCTCACTTGTTCCACCGCACCCACGAACAGAATTACGTGGCTCACGCTATGGCCTACTCGGCGTGCATTGGTCCCAGCGCCAAAAATTGTCAGAGACCCAGCCATGCGACCTTCACTCGGGGGCCTTTAGCCAAACCATCAGTGAGGGAGCCGGGAAGTGGTCGTGGTTCAGGCGAGCCCAAGTTCCCCACTTTGTCACCAGTCCTACAACAGCTGCTTGACGACAACCAACAGAAGGTGAGTAACCAACAGAATAAATATTCCCAATTACAGCCACAGGTTTATCCAGAATTAAGGTTATGGTGGTTTGCGTACTATAAAGTTTGGGGTATTATGTACTATATACTTCATAATGAGTATTTTGCTAGGTTAGAAAGCACTTTTAACAAGGGGCTTCAGTGCATCATTATTGTGTTACGGCTCCACTATTTAGTTTATCCAGGGTAAAGGTAAAGTTGGTTGTCGCGAAAGTTTCTATTGGGAGTCACGGATGTTGTCATAATAATTTAAAATAATCACTCGCACCAAACTTCGGTAAATTCTTAAGAGTATTTGGTTCTTTCTTAATTGTATAATAAGTAAATGATTTGCCTCATCACCCATTGTTAATAATTTGTCCTTAAGTAATTTTTAGTATGAAGTTAGTTTAGTATAGTTCATTAATCTCTTCTTTACACCCCCAAATGAAAATGCATAACATACTTAGTTCTGGGGGAAGCTACACTCGGTACAAGACGATTTAGCCTTGTTATGAATCTTCTTTATTTTCTGTGTTTTTTTTACACAAGTTTGTCAATAACAAACAAGTCTTCAGTTACCAAATATTTATTCCAGATCGTGACCGCTCTTGGTACAGAGACAGTGAAGAGCTTCTCCAACACGGCGGACGTCCAGGAGTTGCTTGGTCGTAGTGCACTTCCTCACAGCATGTAAAACAACACTCCTGTACATGAGGTGAGTCAGTGTCATCTCCCTTAACTCATTTAATTGATTCTTCATGACAAACGTTACAGTGTGTTATGTTTTTATAGCAATAAAAACAATTTGAATATAAGCAAAACTATTGAAATTAAAGTCCATTGTACACACAACCACGAACATATTGGTATCAAAATGCAGATAGTGGAGCGAGAATTATTCACAGTTCTAGGTCGTCTTCAGGCTGTATTGGGACTCGGTTGGACACAAATATTCAGGGATAAACAGCTGACCGCAGGACCTAATACTTGGTCTCCCTGTCAGTCTCTCTGAATGTGACCTCACAATATCTAGGACTGAAGATCTAGATGACTTTCCAAGACATCTTAATGGCGTCTTGGCATCTGGACGTCGTCTTCTGAGCATCTTCGGTGGATATCCTTTTGGAATAACTTGGTCAAGTGTCTGCAGGGTCTCCAGTTATGTTACTTGATCTTGAAACAGTTTGTCGTCTTAGCACCAAGTTTACCAAATTTTCACTAGATTGTATTAGGATTTTTCTTCGCGTTAAGACTACGTATGATAGGTCAATACAGTAGTTTTCTTGATTGTAGATAGTGTCTGTAAATAGTTAGCTAGCTAGTTAGTTAGCGTCTGATAAAGTTTTGTAGTCCCATACATTTAGTTTTGGCTATATTACTGTTCTGTAAATTAAGAGTACAAGAATGTGTTTTTAAGTGTCTGCGGATCGTTTGTGATGTCTATGAATTTTCTTAATGTCAAGGAAGGCTCTACGTTACACCAAGGAGGTCCTCCGTCAGATTTTTCAGTCGGGAGGAATTTTATATAATGTAAAGATGCCACTTACAGGACGTCTTTGTATTTAACTGTAATGTACACATGTGGAAGGATATTTTAAACGCTTTCCACCACAACGCCCAGGTATAAATGTGCTAATTGTCTTTTAGCCATTACAAGATCGTCGTTGTCAGGAAGAGTTAGGAATGTTTGTACACCTGTATACGAGTTTTTACTCTTAAATGGAATACATAGAACATTACACCTCAAGTTTTACCTCATATGTTCACAATAATAACAAGTTCGAGTTATCAGCCATAATCTTTGTCTGCTTAAAAATAGTTCTATTTATTTATTTACCTGCTGAAGTATTGATTACCCTCTGGATATCTTGTGCATATTTGAGATTTGTGTTTTAAATGTAATGTGGCTTTTGATTTTACTTGTATTATAAACACTGTTGGTAGTTCAGTGTCTCGAGATGCAACGGATATTATTGTATGGTATCACAGTGTCATGGAGTTTGTAGATATTTTTATTGAGAAATTATTATATTTGATAGAATAAATTTACCTTACTAGTTTATATTTTCATTTGGTCCTGTTGGTCTTGCGTGCAGGTTTGCCTTTTCCACAACCCCCCATTTATCCGGCCACATACACCCGGAAAACGGTACTTATGCGGCCGGTTGAATGACATCTAAATTTCGGGGTATGTGTCCGGTAAGGCTGTTATTATTCCTTATATTTTGGGTGAAAATAATAAGCAGGGAAATAGATATATTGTTGTGAGCAGACGTTGTGTGTTTACCTTTGTGAAGAACAAGTACCGTTCTAAACTCACAAGCAGTCACACCACAGAACTTGTGAAGGTTGCTGTAACACTAACACTCACATCAACGTCTAACACGTCACGAATAGCTTCTGGACGCAGCCAATAGATGACGCTATTATTGAGGTATCTGGCAACTGTGCCGTACACATTTCATATATTTTTGCTGGAGTTTTCCCATCTTGAGTAGAGTATCTTTGCTCAGGAAATTGAAATGGCCCATTTGCAAGATGGTGTCTGTCTGTGAAGGTTGCTCCGTGGTGGATTGAATATTCAGCGAGTTTTTGAGGAAGAAGCCGCAGCTCTTTACATCTTAAGGGCTCCTGGTGTTCTCCCTTCTTCAGGTGTGACTCCCAACTGTCAGTATCTTGAAGATCGGCATACTTGGTATTGCAGTAAGAGACAGACACTGCCCAAGGTTAGTTTGTTTTATTTACACACCAGGGTTATTAGTGGGGGTTCCCCTGGCAAGGTGGTTAGGTCCGGTCCGGTCTTTCTGGTTTCTCGGGTTGGGAGGCTTCCGATAACTCTTTTTTCTTCACGTTTTTACCCCTCAATTTCCCTCTACTTCAAAGCACTTGATTGATAATTAATACATGTAGTAAGCTTCAAGTTGTAACAACGTAATAATTCACAACTTTTCTCATTTCTAAGAGGCGAACTACCGTACAGGGAGAAACAGAGTAACAGGTACATGTACACTCGGGGACAACAGTTCAATCCTCTAGGTGAAACTGAGTCACGGGGATGAGTCTCCGAATTGACTTACCCTGACTGTTGTATCTCGTTTGGGGTTGATGCTGCTTCATTTTGGGAGGAAGCGAACTTTTGATCCCCGACTGTACAGTACACCAGATCGCAACAGACGCACGACCCCTGAGGGAAACAAACAAACCCTACTCTCAGTAAAGGGGTGGATAAGGATATGTACTGTAGAGCTCACGGCGGAGAGGGTAAGGATGTGTGTGAAACATGCCTCACAAACTCGATTATTGTAACAGGGTATCATTATTTTTTTCACCATTTCTCAGCTAACTATCCGGTGAGGTTCTTAAGTGCATTTGGGTTTTGTTTCCACCCTTATTTGTCGATTGTTTAGTACCGAAGAAAATCCTATAGCCCGGAGAAAACCCGCGATGTTTGGTTGGGTAACACTAACACCCGTCTCACATGCAACACGAGGCTCGTTTCCAGGACGCAGGTGTTAGACATCCCACTACCACATGCCGGAAGTTCAACACCCTCCCCCCCCCCTTCCGTTTGGGTGACAATTCAGTATTAAATATCAGAATTAATTATAAAAAAAGTGATAGAATAAACACTTTGGCTGCTGGCTTATACATTTTTTTTTTACCTTTTCCGAAATGAAAAAGTAGAGAGAAAAGATAAGATAGAGGGTAAGAAGGGGACTTATAACCTTGTTGACTTGAGGTTTGAGACACTGTAGTAATTATTATCTCCGCCACCCTGTCATAGCACCTGCCGGAAATTCAACACCTTTATGGCACTGTCATTCACCTGGTTAATTTGTAACACGACAGGTGAGTGTTCACTGATGAATACAGGAGGTACAGTTTCCCGTTCAGACTCAAACCTTCACCCACTTTACCCAAATTCTTCGTCATAGGTTTCTGAACACAACACTAAGGGGTGTAACGCGACTCGTTTATTTGACAGCAAAGCGTAAAAAAAAAGACCAAAATGGCGTTTTTAAACAACAACAACAACAACTGTCAAATGTCTGTGATGGTCAGAATAGATCTTAATTCCTATAATGGGCAATGTAGGAATACTTACCTTTATTATGAGTTAAAAGCTCGTGTTGACAAGTGTTGGTTCAGAAGGACGGGAACAGTAAGATAAGGTAAAACAAATACAACCATTATAGAACGGGATCCTCTTTATTAACATTTAGTGTAACAATACCAGACGCCACCCAGCATCACCAACAGCTCTTATGAACGTTGAAAAAGACAAGATAACCAAAATGGATGAATAATAGACTCTTAGATCTTCTAGGGAAAAAGAAAGGAGTATATAGAAAAGTTAAGAAAGGCGAAAATCACTTACTTGGTTACTATCAGAACCTAACAAGACAGGTAAAAACAGAAATTAGGAAAGCAAAGAGAAATTATGAAATCAAGGTAGCAAACGAATCGAAAAATAACCCCAAAGCTTTTTATCAACTGTATAAATCAAAGGTTAGAGATACAATAGGTCCCCTTAAAACTACGACAGGAGAAATGACTGATGATGAGTTAGAAATGTGTAGTACGTTAAATAGTCATTTTCGCTCCGTATTCACAAATGAAAACCTAGCACAGTTTCCAGAAGTTCATAAGGTATATAACGACAGTATAGAAAATATGTTGATGAATATCAATATTACTAGTAACGATGTTAAAGTAATTAACAAACTGAAGCCTCATAAATCGCCTGGTCCAGACGGGTATATGCTAGAATATTAAAAGAATGTAGAGATGAGTTGAGTAATCCATTAGCAGTTTTATTTAATAAGTCATTAGAATCGGGCCTAGTGCCAGAAGCTTGAAACTTGCAAATGTAGTTCCGATTTTCAAAAGGGTGATAAATCAATAGCATCAAATTACCGTCCCATTAGTCTCACGTCAATCATAGGCAAGTTGCTAGAGTCAATTATTGCTACAAAAATCAGAAGCCACCTTGAAACATTCAACAATTCATTCTTCTCCAGCACGGGTTCACCCAGGGACGTTCTTGTCTCACAAATTTGCTTAGCTTTTTCTCAGAAGTATTGAAGCGGTAGATAATGATAAGTCATATGATATAATTTATTTAGATTTCAGTAAAGCATTCGATAGAGTCCCTCATGAGAGATTGATAAGGAAGGTAGAAGCACATGGAATAGGTGGATCAGTATTAAAATGGATTAGGTCATGGTTAACTGGTAGGAAACAAAGTCAGCATAAATGGATTAAAGTCAGACTGGGGTGCGGTCAAAAGCGGAGTTCCCCAGGGATCTGTATTAGGCCCTCTGCTGTTTGTTATATTCATTAATGATCTTGATTTAGGCATAACTAGTAGGATTAGTAAATTTGCAGATGATACCAAAATGGGGAGAGTGATAAATTCAGACAGTGACTTTGAACACCTTCAAAGAGATCTAGATACCTTACATGAGTGGTCAGTAAACTGGCAAATGAATTTTAATACTGATAAATGCAAGGTACTACAGATAGGGAAGACGAATACAAACGTTAAGTATAAACTAGGTAACACGGAAATAGAAAACTCAGTTTGTGAAAAAGATCTAGGTGTATTTGTTAGCAACGACTTGAAACCTAGAAAACAATGTATTAGCGTTCGCAACAAGGCAAACAGGATTCTTGGGTTCATATCTAGGTCTGTGAGTAACAGAACTGCTGACGTTATCTTGAAACTTTACCTAGCATTAGTGAGGCCACACATGGATTATGCGGTTCAGTTCTGGTGTCCTTATTATAGAATGGACATAGATTCTTTGGAGAGAGTACAAAGAAGAATGACAAAATGATCCATAATATTAGAAACCTTCCATATGAAGAAAGACTGAAAAGCTTAGGCTTACATTCATTAGAGAGGCGTAGAGTTAGGGGAGATATGATAGAGGTGTACAAGTGGGTAAGTGGGATTAACAAGGGTAAAATGGAAGATGTTCTGAAGCTCAGTAATAACGAAATAACTAGAACAAATGGCTTTAAATTAGATAAATTCCGATTCAGAAAGGATATAGGCAAGCACTGGTTTGGTAATAGAGTTGTGGATATGTGGAATAGGCTACCGAGTGCTATAGTAGGATCGGGGACGCTAGGGAGCTTCAAGACGAAGTTGGATAGGCACATGGAAGTGCTGGGATGGGTGTGAAAGGGATCTGCCCTGCATGGGCCAGTCGGCCTCCTGCAGTATCCCACTTTCTTATGTTCTTATGTTCTTATAACCAGGTCAGCGCAGTTATTGCGTTCGTAAATCATAATATATCTAACCGCAAAACAATAAATTATGTCATACGGTGTAAGTAGCTAAAAAAAAACTATCTTTACCAAATTGTGTTGAAAAAATGACACAACGGACGAAGGATTTTGATAACCCTACAGAGACAACAGGAGTCTTAAGTGTTCATTCAGGCATTTATCGGTCTTCCCTCCTCTCTCAAATAAAGATATATATATATATATTTTTTTAAGTGACTGATACAAAGCGAATACCTAACTAATTTGTAGTGGTAGTCCAAGGGATATTATACATTAACAAGTATACATAATTCGTAATATATGCCTTAAGATTAGCTAACTCACTGGGCTAACATTATCACTGGCACGTATACATAACTTAACCAACTAGTAAATATCACAGGACAATATTAGTGTAGGTTAAATTGACAGACTCAAATAAAAGTACCAACTACAAAATAAACGAAAATATAGACACGACGCTAAAAAAAATGACTTGAGAAAATATAAAAACAAAATTTTTTAATCCTAGTAAGCCTTCAGATTTCAGATATAAACACAAGACAAACTCGGCACTATAATTTATTTGTCTTTATCTCTAGACATGTTCCTTGTTTATATTTTTCCACACGAGGAATTAACCACTACAGTACCCTCGCCTCCACTACATAACCCTCGCCTCCACTACAGTACCCTCGCCTCCACTACAGTACCCTCGCCTCCACTACATAACCCTCGCCTCCACTACATAACCCTCGCCTCCACTACATAACCCTCGCCTCCACTACAGTACCCTCGCCTCCACTACAGTACCCTCGCCTCCACTACATAACCCTCGCCTCCCTGTGACCTATACAACATTGGTGAGATCTGGAGGAACTGTAAACTACAAAACGTTGCCCAAGACAGAAAAAATAAAATAAAACGTTTGAACAAGATAATGAAAACTAGACAAAAAAAAAGTAAGATAATATTTGTTTAAAGTAATAGTAATTAAAATTGAACAGCTCAAACAGAAATGTCGGTCAATTGTAGTCTTTTCCTAGTTGTTTTATTAATGTTACCGTCAATATAACTGGTTTCTGACTGATACTATAGTTTTTTTTTTAGTGTTACTCTCACTATAACTGGTATGCGACTTGCCATAGTTGGTTTCCGACTCACTATAACTTGGTTTCTAATGGTTCCTCTCTTCATCAATGGTCTCTGGTTGTCGTGGTGTTGATGGTCTCTGGCACCTGTATAACCTCCACAGTTGATGTATGATTGACGTCCTTACAGGTCTCTTGAGTACACAAAAACACCATCTGACAAACATAGCTCACTTTATCTGAAAAACAAGAGGAAAATATGAAACGTGATCTAACAGTGTTTGTGTTTTATGTTAAGGTGGGGGAAGGATGGAAGGCGTGCTGGGGCTTAAGGCACAGCCAGATAATGAGGGATGGAGAAGTCACAACATGTAGTCGTGGGGGGAAGGTTGGGAAAGAAGTTTAATGAGTTAAACAGAGGGGAACGACACCCCTTGTTTTACATATTACAGAGTTTGCTGGCTGACTAAGTTAACCTAGTATGAGGTTGCACAATGGTTACTTTGGTTGGCAATGACTTGTTTGATTTTACAATTACATGTTTATCAAAATCTTATACTGTATTACGTTATGGACTCACTAGATTGTGACTGGTTAAATGTGATCTTATATCATCTGAGTTTTAATCTAAGGTGGATCACTGTGGCGGACGTAGATGGGTCGCGGGTTGGGTTGTTGTAGTGCGGGCAGATTCCGTGGCCACCAGGCTTGGGGTCGCCCTCTGTTGATGTCTTCCCCGCAAAGGTGGTCTGGGCTGTGAGGGTCGTCCAGGAGCTTGTCCCAAACCTTCTTCCCTAAGCGATGGAACCTGACGTTGAGGGCCTCTGTTTTATTGTCTCCTGGTAGGGTGGCGCTTGGCCACTGGCTGACCTCAAACACTTGTTTTGGAAGCTCTGTAGTTGTTGTAGTCTGGTCATCCCGAGTGTGATGAGTGGGACGTTGTGGGTACTCCAACACGGGCCTCACCAGCGCCTTGTACAGGTCTTCGTCGTCGATCATCAATGGCGCCAGCTTGAATTTGGCTTTGGGTATGACCTCGAATTTTGTTTTGTTTGTTTATATTTTCCATTTCTTTTCATACTCCGAGATATCCTCTATTGCCCGATCAGTGAGTCGCGCCATCCTTGCTGTGGACCTTCCTGGGCAGGTGACGATCTGTGTTACATCGTCGGCATACATGACGTACTCGCTGCCGACGATTGGGGGTGGCAGGTCAGCCGTGTACAGCGTGTAAAGGGTTGGTGAGAGACAAGAGCCCTGAGGCACGCCGCTCGAGAGTCAGAATCCCTCCCCACAATGTTCTTGCAGTTTGATTTTGGCTCTGCGGTCGTTAATGAAATTGCACAGCAGGCGCGTCAGGTTTTCGGGTAGCCCCAGTTGTATGATCTTATACTGCAGCCCCGCGTGCCAAACTTTGTCAAACGCCTTGCTGACGTCCCACAGTACTACGTTGTACTGCAGGAGACCAGTCATGGCGTTGGCGATCTGCTCGTAGGCCTGGGCTATGGCGGTGGATGTGCCTCGGTACTGGTGGAAGCCGAACTGACGGGGATTTTGCACCTCTTGGTACTCTAGATACATCCGCAACCGCTTGTTTACTATTTTTTTCGAGGATTTTGGCGGGTACCTCTAGCAGCGATATTGGTCGAAAGTTTTCGACTTTGTTTGGAGGCTTCCCTGCTTTTGGTTTGAGGCGAATAACGGCGATTTTGAACATCCTAGGAAAGTATCTGGAGGCGAGGCAGGCATTGAATATATGAGCAAACCTCTCTATCATGTTGTCGGGGAGTTGGGCCAGGATCTTCTTGTTAATATGGCTTTGCCCAGGTGACTTGTTTTTAAACCCTTTTTTGACGGCTGACACATCTGCAGGAACTATACGCTCCGTCAGGAAGCTTTCGTCTACCAGTCTAGTGAAGTCAGTCCGTGGGAGCGGCTGTAGCAGGTGCTGATGGTCCTACAACTGACCTGAAATGTCCTCCTCAAACTCCCTGTCGAAGCCCTCGTTCTCCTGTTCACTAAAGGTAAAGATCTTCCTTAAATATCGCCGATGTAGTTGTTCTTGGTTTTTCCTCGAATATTTTCACGTTGTTTTGGTCGAGCAGGTAAGGGACAGTGCTAGAGGTGGAACCCATCAGTCGCTTGATCCCTTTCCAGAATGCAGCAGAATCGCGGTAATTGTTGGCTGCCTCCCACACCAAGGCGGCCCACTTTTGTTCATGGAGACGTTTGCTCTCGTGCTGGATGTCCGTCTGTAGCTCTCGGTACCGGTCTCTCAGCTCTTGCGTCCACCCGCGGATACTGGCTAGCTGTCTCACGTGATCGTACTGGACACTAAGCTGCTTCAACTGGTGACTAGTGTGAGGGTGGGGAATGGTCCTGTGGGTGGTGGTCGGGATGTTGTTGTACTGTATATGTATAGTTTTATCTTTATAGCCCCGACACAGGTTAGATGTTTATATAATGGGAGTAGGAAGCCCATGGGAGGGAGGGAGGGAGCGAGTTGATGTATTTCGTCTGGGGAGTCAGCACCAATCCCTCCCACTCAATGCTCGTACCTCTAAAATGTTAACCTAACCCTAAAAAAAATTATAACGGTGTTTGATTTAGGTTAAGAAAAGTTAAATATTGCAGATTATTATATTAAGAAAACTGAAATGACATTACCTAGAGCTTGTGTGATGAGTTTGGGTTTGGTGGCGTTCCTGAGGATGAGGCAGTAGACAAACAAACCAATGCTTACGACAGCCAGGGCGAAAGCGATCTCCATTGGCCTCATGATCACAGGGATCACCGCCACGAGCATCCCGAGTATCGTGTACAGTATCGGGAACCCCAACCACACCTGCCGCGCGCCAGAGGGACAGGTGTGAATGCCCCCAAAAAATTCAGGTGTGTAGTGGATGATGTGTGTGTAGTGGATTGTGTGTGTGTAGTAGATTGTGTGTGTGTGTGTGTGTGTGTGTGTGTGTGTGTGTGTTCTATAATCACGTTGAATATATTTAAACATAAGTAAAAAATTAAAACGAAAGGAAGTCGAGCAAATAAGTCAGTGAAAAAAAAAAAAAAAAAACATGTAACTTGCCTTGATGGGTCTGGGTTTGTCGGGTTCCTTATAGCGAAGCCACAAGAGACCCACCACGGGGATGAGGGTGACGACACTGTCGACGGAGACGGAGTAGGTCAGGAGCCACCCAACGTCAGGAGCCATAAGCATCACTAGCGGCAATATCACCTGTGGTAGTGGCATATCAGCATACGTATTATGTATAAGTAACTCCAGGTGCCTTATGTTTAAATCTGATTATTTACACATGTTCTTAGTATTAACAGCAACCAACATTTGACAATAAGCGAATATCACCCTTATACATTTTTATTAATTAAATCCTAAGTCATATAAAAAACCAAGTGGGAGACAGAGATCAAGCAAGAATAATACATAACGGTACAGTAAAATGAATTTCTTAAGAGTTTTTGCTTTTCACGGGGAGTATCCAAAAGAATGCCTCGGATACTTCAGGTAAAGAATATTAGATGAGGGATGTAAGAATCTCTGTCAAACTTAAATTCAGCCACACAGCATCGGAGAGGAAGAGGTGTTTGTAATTATGGAAATAAAATAAATAAAACATGTGATTAATACTCCATAAATATTTACTTTACTGTAAAAAAAAAAATCGACGGTAAAACATAAAATAATTTGAGGAGTAATACGGACTGTATATATGATGGCAGGGATGGGTGTACATCTGTCCACCTGTATAAAGGACAGGAAGTGTGGAAAGTGACCCTCTCGAGCCCCAGAGTACACTATGCGAGAGTCGACGAAGATGGCTCCGTTAATGTAGCCACAGGTGGAGCAGGCGACGAAAAAGGCGATTATCCAACCCATCACCCCCATCACCCGCTGGCCGAACGTCTGCAAAATAGAGACAGATTGTAATGTATGTGAGGATGTGTGTGGAGTATAAAGATCGTGGTATGTTGTTTGAGAATAAAAAAGAATCACGAAATGAGAATGGTTCATTGGATGTGAACCTGAGAGCACAGCTACCCACCACAGCCACAGCACCATAGGACAGCACAACTACCCACCACAGCCACAGCGCCATAGGACAGCACAATTACCCACCACAGCCACAGCACCATAGGACAGTACAACTACCCACCACAGCCACAGCACCATAGGACAGTACAACTACCCACCACAGCCACAGCACCATAGGACAGCACAATTACCCACCACAGCCACAGCACCATAGGACAGTACAACTACCCACCACAGCCACAGCACCATAGGACAGCACAACTGCCCACCACAGTCACAGACACAGAGGACAGCACAACTACCCACCACAGCCACAGCACTGGAGGACAGGATCTCAGCAGGTGTCAATACAGCGTAGTAGGCGACGTTGGTCAGCACGTATATCACAGTCACTAGGGTAAGGGAGATGGCTATGGCTCGTGGCAGGTTCCTGGAAAGTGTTTGTTGGGAATTTAATCTTGTGAAAAAAAAAATCTTAGATGCTGAGTTCTGGGAGGTTAACGCTTATCTTCGTCCACTAAGAACAGTATTAAAACATGAGAGTATTCAAAGGCTTACCTAAACAAAATCACTTGAATTAGATTCGTAGCCCTTCAATGTACACAAGTTAGTCAACCATCTCCGAGAATCTTCGTGGAGTAGCGCCAAGTCCTACAATAGTGATTTCCTACACCTACACTGACTTACGTACCTCCACCTACACTGACTTATGTACCTATAACTACACTGACTTACGTACCTATACCTACACTGACTTACGTACCTCCACCTACACTGACTTACGTACCTCCACCTACACTGATTTACGTACCTAGCCTACACTGACTTACGTACCTATACCTACACTGACTTACGTACCTACACCGACTTACGTACCTCCACCTACACTGATTTACGTACCTAACCTACACTGACTTACGTACCTATACCTACACTGACTTACGTACCTATACCTACACTGACTTACGTACCTATACCTACAGTGACTTACGTACCTCCACCTACACTGACTTACGTACCTCCACCTACACTGACTTACGTACCTCCACCTACACGCACTTACGTACCTATACCTACACTGACTTACGTACCTATACCTACACTGACTTACGTACCTATACCTACAGTGACTTACGTACCTATACCTACACTGACTTACGTACCTATACCTACACTGACTTACGTACTTGCTTGGTTCCTTCAGCTCCTGCGTCACGTAGTTGAGTGAGTACCTGCAACGAAAACAATACATTATTACAGTGTACCGCGGAAACGCTCGAGTGAAACCTGCGAGTTAAACTTTTCTTCAAAACATTTCTAATAATATTTTTTTTTTTTATAACTTGATATACAGAGATCTTCCCCCTTATTATTATTGTCAGTAGTGATTGTGTAAAGTAAAAGGGGGTTCCATAGGCAGCACGACCGGTACTCCACTGAACCTCACGAGGAATGTGTTCTGGTGGCAGCGTAGAAGATAAGGTGGGGTGAGATTACCTTCATCACATCGAGTCGGTTTCTATTGGTATATCAAAAAGTGGTGTAATTCCCGGCATACATCTCTGCTAGCTATTTTATACTGTATTGTCTTTGATCCAATGACGTCAGTACTAACACGGAACCATGATTATAACAACAACAACAGTGACAATAATACCTTTGAGTCAGCACAAGCAGCGGGATAAACTTTTTTCTCTCTCTTTCTTGTCTAATTTTTCATCTATTTTCTCTCTCTCTTTCTTGTTCAGGTTTATATCTCATCATTCTCGGAAAAAATAAAACTCCCCACAAGTTTTACGGTATACACGTGGAAGCAGATTTGTGGTTATCGTGCTTTTGGTATTCTGTCGGCGGGGTAACCAGTACTGATATGAAACCTACATGATGGGGGAAAAAAATATATTGTCATAAAAAGTACCGTTGATGAGAGATGAACTGTAGAGCTGCACCGGGGATTGGTTTGCAAGGTTTACAGTCCAACATACAGTACTGACCATCCACTGTAAGAGAAGAGGGTAGAGTAGAAAGCGGTGGCGATGGAAGACACGTCCCACATGGTCCCTTCCATGGGGTTGCGGAAGTGGTCGGTATTACCAATAGCCAGGTGGTGTACTCCGGCCACGATGATGACGATCAGCGCCAACACCTTCGTCTGGGTAAAGACGCCCTGAATTATGGCTCCTAACTTTACCCCGAGGCAGTTTATATACGCCATTAAACCTGTTGAAAGGTGTGATATATTCATCATCGACCATTAAAATGTGAAGGGCACACATGAACTGAAACATAAATATTTTAATAATTGTTATTAAGATGTAGTTTTGTGTCTTAGAAACTGCCAGGGAGCGAGAAATGAGGACTGTTTGTATAGTTGTCAGTGACACAAGTTTCAAGAGTATACACGTCTAGTACCTGTGATAAGTGTCCCTTTATGACCTACCTCTCAACTGCCTGTGCCCATTCACTCTACTCCTGGCAGGTCAGGTTTTATATGTATATTATGTGTATTTGCTGAACAACCAAAACTTTTAACAATATAATTTCTCACACTTACAAATCAAGGCCGCAGCTATGAGTCTGATGGTAAAATATGGCGGTGAGAAGCAGCCCGGGAAGAAAGGCTGCAAGACATAATTGGCGAAGGTGAGGGCTACGATGGCGGTGCTGCTGGGCTCTATCACGATGTAAGTGGTCCACAGTACGAGGAACGCTGGCACGGGTCCAAATATCTCCAGCACGTATATGTAGGTACCACCGTTCTTCGGGATCATTGTGCCTGTTGGACCAAGCAGTTTTAAAACGTTCCGGCAAGATTAAATAGTAAGTGGAAGGAACAATTCCGTCAATAAATCTTAACCATTGATAAATAAGTCACATCATTGTTGGTCTAATTGTGGCGACCTGTGGTGTAATGATCAGCATGGTCAACATTAGTACCGTAATACTGACCGAGCTCAGCATAGCAGAAGCCGCCCATCATGGACATGATGCCCGTGGCCACCCACACTGTCAGCGACATACCCACGCTGCCAGTATACTGCACCACCATCGTAGGGGACACGAAGATGCCAGCTCCGATAAGTAAGCCCACGATCAAGGCCACTCCGTGCCAGAGCCCCAAGACCTTCTTCAGCTGTACGCCTGTGTCTGTACATTGATCAGCGTTACTGGAATCTGCGGAGAGGTAATTCGTCTCTGTTGAAGTTTGTCCAGACTGTCTTTTACTGCCAGAGTCACCGGAAGGTGCTGATGGGCTTCCTGCTGTAGACCTCAGTCGTGGCACCTGGGAGGACGAGTGGCCAAGTTCGTCACTTGTCATCGTTGACTCGGAGGTAGTGGCCGCAGCCATGGTGCCTCTGTTAAGGTGATTAATGAAGGTATAGTAAATGAATAATCGAGGTGGAATTATTACACAGTTACATTATTCATTTACCGTACAGCTCGACAGGACCAATCTTTGTTTCTGTGTCCGTCTGCAGTAAGTTCACAGACACTCCTGACGTTTGTTTAAATCTAAGTCTCTAACATGGCTGCTGTGGGTAGCTGTCGTGTATGGTACTACTGAAGGCTGAGGTAAAGGTTCAGTGTCTACTCTTCTGAACACTGATGAACACTTATGAGGTGAAACGTAATGAAGTAATACTCTTGTTAACTGAAATAAATGATGTGTGGTTAGGTTAGGTTAGTTAAAAATGGATATCGCTACCCACACAACTTACACCACCATTCACACTACCCACATCACCCAGGCCCCCCCCCACCACCCAGGCCACCCACACCATCCAAGCCACCCACAACACTATCCACACCATCCAAGCCACCCACAACACTATCCACACCATCCAAGCCACCCACAACCCTATCCACCACCATCCAAGCCACCCACAACACTATCCACACCACCCAGGCCACCCACACCATCCACACCACACACATATCCACACCGCCCAGGCCACCCACACCATCCACACCACCCAAGCCACGCACACCATCCACACCACCCAGGCCACCCACACCACCCAGGCCACCCACACCACCCAGGCCACACACCACCCAGGCGATCCACACCATCCACACAACCCAGGCCACCCACACCATCCGCACAACCCAGGCCACCCACACCATGCACACCATCCAAGCCAACCACAACACTATCCACACAACCCAGGCACACCCACATTATCCACACCACCAAGGCCACCCACCATCCACACCACCCAGGCCACCCACACATCCGCACAACCCAGGCCACCCACCTATCCACACAATCCAGGCCACCCACACCATCCGCACAACCCAGGCCACCCACACTTCCACACAACCCAGGCTACCCACACCATCCATACCATCCAAGCCAACCACAACACTATCCACACAACCCAGGCCACCCACACCATCCACACCATCCAAGCCACCCACAACATTATCCACACCATCCAACACAACACTATCCACACCATCCAAGCCACCCACAACATTATCCACACCATCCAAGCCACCCACAACACTATCCACACCAAGCCACCCACAACACTATCCACACACTGCCACCCACAACACCATCCACACCATCCAAGCCACCCACAACACATCCACACCATCCAAGCCACCCACAAATCTATCACACCATCCAAGCCACCCACAACGCTATCCGCACAACCCAGGAAACCCACATTATCCACACCACCCAGGCCACCCACAACACTATCCACACAACCCAGGCCACCCACACCATCCACACAACCCAGGCCACCCACAACACTATCACACAACCCAGGCCACCACAACACTATCCACACAACCCAGGTCATCCCACACTCACCCACACTATCCACACAACCCAGGCCACCCACAACACTATCCACACAACCAAGGCCACCCACACCATCCACACCACCCAGGTCACCCACAACACTATCCACACCACCCACACTATCCACACCACCCAAGCCACCCACAACACATCCACACAACCCAGGCCACCCACAACACTATCCACACAACCCAGGCCACCCACACCATCCACACCACCCAGGCCACCCACAACACTATCCACACAACCAAGGCCACCCACAACACTATCCCACACAACCCAGGCCACCCACACTATCCACACCACCCAGGTCACCCACACCATCCACACCACCCAGGCCACCCACAACACTATCCACACAACCAACAACCACAACACTATCCACACAACCCAGGCCACCCACACTATCCACACCACCCAGGTCACCCACACTACCCACACCACCCAGGCCACCCACAACACTATCCACACAACCCACCCACAACACATCCACACAACCAAGGCCACCCACAACACTATCCACACAACCCAGGCCACCCACATTATCCACACCACCCAGGCCACCCACACTATCCACACCACCCAGGTCACCCAGACTATCCACACCACCCAGGCCACCCACAACACTATCCACACAACCCAGGCCACCCACAACACTATCCACACGGACTTTCGGTTAACGGATTATCTAGTGCATTTCCACTTCTTAGGATAATTTTGAACGGCCTTTGAGGGAATGGATCAGATTCGGTGCAGCGAAGAATGACGAAAATGATTCCGCGACTTAGAAACCTTCCATATAAGGATAGGTTAATGAAATTTAACTTGCATTCCCTAGAAAGACGAAGAGTGCGGGGAGATATGATAAAAGTATTTAAGTGGGTGAAAGGAATCAATAAACGGGATATAGATAAAGTTCTTATAATATCCGAGCAGGATAGGACTAGTAGCAACGGATTTAAGTTGGATAAGTTTAGGTTTAGGAGGGAGATAGGAAGGAACTGGTTCACAAATAGGGTGGTGGACGAGTGGAACAAGCTTAGCAACTTTGTAGTAAGTGCTGGGACGCTGGAAAGTTTTAAAAGGAGGCTAGATAGATTCATGGACGATGGAATGTGGTTGCAGCTCTCGACAGGAGCTGCCATGCACAGGCCAACCAGCCTATTGCAGACTCCTTATGTTCTTATGTCCTAAGTATAGGCTTCCCTGAGGTGCAAGATACGCCTAGACTTATTATTGTGATTAGCCAAAAAGTGCTTCTGCATTGTCATGTGATATCTGGTGATGAGGCATTTTAAACGCGACGCTTCCGCTCCGCTGATTTAGTTGATAATGGGTATGCATTTGCACCTTCATATCCTGACAAGTTCCAGCATCTGGCCAAAATACAGAAGATGAACTCCATCTATTATACAAGCATTTGGTACATCAGAGCACTTACAAACCCACAGCTTCCTCCTCCAACACTGCCGCATCCACACCCGACCTCACCCAGTCACCCGACCTCACCCAGTCACCCGACCTCACCCAGTCACCCGCTACCACCAACACCCAGACACCCAGCAACCCAAGGAAGAGAAAACAAACCTCGCCCCTCACTACTCCCGACAAGAAGTGACACATAATAGCAATCAAAATATCCCACAACATTACTTGAAGTCAACCAACACGATCCTAACCTCAGCCCATC